ATTCCACCCCCCACCCCCCACCCCCGGAAGCAAATGGCAGGGCCCCAAAGCACGCCTGCACACCAGGGCCGCACACCAGGACCGGGTCGCACCGACCCCTCACCAGGAGACGGGCACCTCCCATTCCACCCGCCTCGCTTGGGCGAGTCTATGCCGAGGCCGCCAGAGGGCGCCGCACGCGGAGTAAAAGCCCCAGAGACTGTTAAAAGGCTTCTCAAAAAGAGCAGCTGCAGCAGCTAAGCCTTGCGTGAGGCTGTACGGATTCTTCCCGTATTACCAAGTGTTGTCTTCTCGTTACAACTTGCGCAATTGGCTTTTTTAAAAATTGCCATACTATGCCCGGCCGGCATAGTAGGAGCGTCCACCCAGGAACCAAGAGGTCATGGGTTTGAGTCCCGGTCAGGGCACATGCCCGGGTTGTAGGCTCATCCCCAGTAGGGGGCGTGCAGGAGGCGGCCTAGCAATGATGTTTCTCTCTCATTGATGTTTCTCTCTCTCTCTTCTGCCTTCCTCTCTCTAAAAATTAATAAAAATATATTTAAGAAAAAATTGTCACACGAGATACGGCCTTTCAGGCTGGATCCGGTGGCCCCTGAGCCAAGGTCATGCCGCTGGGAGGTACCAGTCAGCTCTCTGGCATCCTAACCCTCCGCCAGGACTTCAGCTTAGGGTCTCTGCTGAGCCAGCTCCTCCCTCGGGAAGCTGCCCTGACTTGATTCCGGGTTTGGGTTTCCTTCCCTCCCACCATCGTCCCTGCCTTCCCCACGACAGCTTCCCCGTCTTGGTCTCGTCTGGACCTCCCCCAGACAGTGCCAGCCGTCCACGTTTGCCTCCCCAGACCCAGGCCTCAGCGGGTACAGATATGCCCAGCAAACGTTCACAGATAAACCCCAATGGCCCAGACTCCCTGCAGCCCCTCCTAGAACCTAAGGCATGACCCCAGCAGCAGCCACTGCTTACAGTGGGGCAAAGCGCACCCCCAGATTCGTGTCCCAGGCCCCTCCAAGGCTGGCCTTCCCATTACAGACCAGGCAGCCCAGGGAACCAAGGCTGAGGGGGGTGAAGGGGTGCGGCAGGGGCAGCCTGGGCGCGCCTGCCTGGCTCTCCTGGCCGCCATTCGCTCCCTGTGCCAGGGGGCACACCTTCCAACCCCCAGCCTCATGTGCTCCTCCAGAAAGACTCTGGGGGGCTCCCTGTAGAAATGTGGTCTTTATCTCTTCCTGGGGTGACTCAGGGTCCCTGGGGGCCATGAAGGGGGGAGGCCAAGGGGACCTGCCAGTCCTACTCCCACTCCCACTATCAACCCAGGCCTCTCGGCTTGTCTGTTTTAGATACGGGGGTCCCCCTCATGTGCCACTGAAGACAGGGCTGTGCTGTCACGGAATGGGTGGGGGTTCCCTGGGCTGCTGCCTAGTGACTGTGGCTGGTGTTCACATCACCCCGCCTGCCCATGTCACCCTGATGTTGGTGGATGCGGGGCTGAGTCCTCCCACGTGGCTACGCGAGGTCCAGACATACCTACAGTGGACCACGATGGGCCCGGCGTGCGTGGGGTTGAGCGTCTTCACTTTCTTCAGGAACTTGAGCATCCCAATGGGGGTGAAGGGCACCCCAAAGTCGGGCCAGCTGGTGAAGTGCAGCTGGCACACGAGCCGCGGGGCTTTGCAGCCATCGGGGAGCTGCTGCAGAGGCACAGGTGTGTGTGAGACGGCCGTCCCCACCCCCCATCCCTAAAGCCAGTCCAGGACTCGGGGACCCCACAGATGGCAGGGTGGCTACTCTCTTTCCTTGGGGTGTTTCTGTATGTGTGCACACGTGAGTTGGTACATGCGTGCATCTGTGTGTTNTGTGAGTTGGTACATGCATGCATATGTGTGCATCTGTGTGTTCACGTGCATGTGTGCATGTGTACACGTATGTGCACNCGTGAGTTGGTACATGCGTGCATCTGTGTGTTCACGTGCATGTGTGCATGTGTACACGTATGTGCACTGTGTGTGTGTGTATCTGGGGGCAGTGTCTGGGAGGGAGGGAGGCAGGGACAGTGAGAGTGACAAAGCCCATCTCCTTCCCACTTTGTGCTGTGGCGTCTGGACACCTGACTCCTCTTGCGACCTGTGCTCGCCCGCATCCACCGGCCGTCCTGCCAGCCCGGCCTCTGCGTTCGTCTCCTGCGCCTCTATCTCACCCGCCCTCCACACACACAGGCCTCTGCTGAAACCACCTGGGAACCCTGGGGTGGCAAGGAGCAGCAAGGAGTGTGGAGAACAATGAGGACGTTTCGGACGTCCTTGTGCTTCTGAAACTGCTGAAGAAAACCCTGCCTCGAGATCCCAGTGTGTGAAACGGCACCGCTACTAAGGGGGACCCCGCCCCCGCCCCCTCCGACTCACTCACGCCCTCCCCCAGGAGTGGCCCCTGGGAGCCAGGAGCAGCCTGTGTGAGGACTCGTGGGCTCCTGCCTCTGGTCCTCCGCTGGGGACTCACCCTTGGTCCCCTGACACCTGTCCCATCCCTGTCCCTGTCCCCACCTGGCACGTCCTCTGGCTTCAGCCCCCCACTCAGCAATGCTAGGGAATGGGAAGCAAAGCTGGGGACGGGGGCTGAGCTGGGGGTGGGAGGCAATGCTGGGGGCAGGGGCAGAGCTGGGGGGAAGCTCTTCCTGCTATGAACCAAGACCTGCTTGCTCCCGCCTTCCCGCGTGGAGCGTGAGGGCTGCCTCTCCGCACGCCCGCACCTCGGGTGCTTACCGACTGGATGCAGAACTTGCGCACGGTGTAGTCCACCAGCGCCACGCAGTCCTCCACGCTCACCCGGACGTGGCCGTAGGTCCAGCAGCCCTGGTCCGGCCAGTACTGAAAGCACTTCTCCTGCAGGGAACCAAGAGCACGGGGGCCTGAGGGCTCCTTCATGGCCATCGCCGGCCCAGGCATTCATCTCTCAGATGCTCGCGCGCTTGCAGTGCCCACACCTGCCCAGGCCAATGACCTGTACCCGGGTGCCACTGACAGGCAAGTACCTTCCCTCTGTCGCCCAGACTTCACTGGGCATGTGGCCCTTCCCCCATCCAGTCCCTGCCCCCAGGATCTGTGGGGAATAGACCGGTAGCTTCCTGGGGATGTTAAACGGCAGCTGGGAAAGAGCAGGGGACGTGTCTGCTTAGAAATGGGGAAGCTGAGGCCACACGGCTGCTTCAGGCAGCCCTGAGCCTGTAACTGGGGCCCGAGTCTAACGCCGACGACTCACGCGTTCATCCAGTCACTAAGCTCTGGGTTTTGGAACCGTCTTGTCGAGCCCGAGCCCTGCAGGGCCGGGAACATGACCAACAGCAGCCGCCATGCCCTGGCCGGCGTGCTCAGTGGTTAGAGCGTCGGCCTGAGCACCGAGGGTCCCAGGTGCGATTCCTGGTCCAGGNGAGGGTCCCAGGTCCGATTCCTGGTCCAGGGCATATACACGGGCTGGGGTTCAATCCCCGACCCCAGTCGGGTGTGGACTCCCTGTGTCTGTCACATCGATGTTTCTCTCTCCCTCTCTCTCTCCCCCGACCCTTCCACTCTCTCTGAAATCAATGGCAAAAAATATCCCCACTCACAAGTGAGGATTAAAAATTAAAAAATAAATAAATAAAAAATATATTTTTAAAAAAGTGGNGGACCCTTCCACTCTCTCTGAAATCAATGGCAAAAAATATCCCCACTCAAGTGAGGATTAAAAATTAAAAAATAAATAAATAAAAAATATATTTTTAAAAAAGTGGCCCCCATCCACGGGGCTCGCCCCCAGCCCCGTGTGTCCCCCAAACAGTCCCCGCTGGGTGTGGCAGGTGGTCCTGTCAGGCTCAGCTCACTGAGGATGAACGTCACTTGCGCCACGCCAGCCGCCCGCCGCCAGCCCACCGCTGAGGGCGAGGAGCTGTGGCCGCCTCATGCTCGTTTCTCCAGCGAGGACGGGCTGGCACGGGCACGGGCAGGGGCAGGGCACGGGCATGGGCACGGGCACACTGCTACAGAGAGGCCGTTTCTGCCCCTTCCCTCCCGCCCCACAGCAACGGGCCCAACACCAGCACCCAGAGGGCACGGCCCGGGGCGCCCAGCACCCAGCCAGCCGCCAGCCCTCCTGAGCAGCAGGACCCGGGGGCGGCGGGCGGCCTGCTCGGCACCATCTCGGGAGGAGCAGCCACCTACACGCCAGACGGCTTGTCCAGGAAACGACCACGGGTGGTGCCGCTGGGAGGCCGTCACAAGAATTAACCACTGTCCAACTCAGAAGGCGTCCTGGTGTTTACACGACGGGACAACTTCCGCTCCTCCACCCAGCCCTGGGTGTCCCTGAAGCGGCCCCAGGAGGAGCAAAGCCCCAGAGGCCCTGGTTTGGGCCAGTCTCAGCCTCCTGGGCCCCGTGAGACCCTCCTGAATGTCTGGCCCTGAAAGGTGGCCCCTCGGGCCCAGGCTGTTTCTGTGGCCCTGCGGGCTCGGTGTGTGGGGTCTGCACGCCCTGGGCCTCTCTGTCCACAGGGACACTGTCCCGCCTCCACATCCGGGCCTGAGATGACAGAGCAGCTGCGTTTCACAACGCTCAGCAGGGGCGTTGAAGCCGGGCGACCACAGCAGAGTGTGAGCAACAGAGAAAAAGGGAACCGGATTGAGAAATGATTTCATGTGAAACAGTGACACAGAGACACAGCGGCAGGCCTGCTCGAGTGACAGAGATGGAAAATGCAGGAGGAGGCAGCAGAGTGACATCAGAGGGAAATGCCAAGTGACAGGCACAGGATGACTGCCGGGGTGGCGGGGGCATGTTCTGGGGCTCCCCTGCTTCTGCACTGGTCTCAGTGTGTTTCATGTTTGTAACAAGTCCCCCCCTCCCCCCCAGCAATACTGGTCCCAGTGTTGGCTGGTCCCAGGGGACCCAGGGACTCCAGGCTCCTGGTCGTCTCCTTTTCTAGGGCAGGTCCTGCTACAGCATCTGCTCAGATGCTGAGCACGGGCCCCTCCAGTGAAGCGTCCCTGGGCATCCCCAGCCTCATCCTGTCACTCTTTCCAAGACAGAGGATGGCCTGGGCAGAACTCACACGGAGAAGAGAGGCCCTCCCCAGCCCTGTCACCACTTCTACAAAAACAAAACAAAACAAAACAAAACAAAACCCCCCAAACTACCATGACCAGAAACGGCGGCCAGAGGCTACTTCCTGTGGCCTTCAGCGACAGTGGACCTGGGGCGGCTTCAATGCCTCTTGGGCGGCCTTGCCTGTTGCCTGGCCTCCCACCCTGAGCTCCAGCTAAACTTCCATCTCAAAGAGCAGCCCTTCCTGGAGCCTTAGCCAAGCTGCCTGGGCTCGGCTGGGGACAGGACAGCTGGTCCCATGCCAGTGAGTGACAGAGGACAGGCAAAAGCAGAGGTCAGCATCTCTGGGCCCCGTGCCTGGACTCACGTGTCCCACCAGACGGGACCTTCCTTCAGCCTGCTCCCACCACCTTTGCTCCGGCCCTCAGGCTAGAACATGCTAGACCAGTCTCCCTGCCTCTAACAAGTCTCCCTCCAGCTCCCAGTTCTGCCTTCATTATGGTCAGTGAGCTCACTTCCTAAAAGACAACCCCCCTCCTCCAACCCCGAAGGCCCGCAATGCTCCCCGCTTCAGCCTGCCCTGGCGCCCAAGCCCAGCTCTTCCATGCGTGTCTCGACTTCACGTCCTGGCGCGGACAAGGGGGGAGTGGAGCAGGAGGCTGCTCCTGGTTTCACAAACACATCGTCCTACCCCTCGATGCTTCTCTGGCTGGATTTGGTAAAATCCCCTCCAGTCCTTGAGATCTGGCCCCAGCATCACCCCCCAGGTGAATTCTCCTGCTGGTGTCCTGGCAGAGAGCCCAGTGGGGCTGCTCCGCCTCCACCCTCCCCTCCTTCAGCCCCAGGAACGGAATCAGCCGGGTTCTGGTTTCCTCTCCAGGGTCTGGGACCCTCTGGCTAAAGGGAAGGCTCAGAGGCAGGAAAATGCCCCTGCATTTCTGCACCCAGGGCCGTGCCTGGGGCACAACCCAGGCCTCAGCCCGCCAGGCCCTCCACCCAGGTGGTGGCCTTTCCGGACACCACAATGTCCTTCATTCTCCACTATCTCTTATGCCACCTCTGGACAGCCTACATTTGTCTGCTTTCTGTTTGGTGCCGGCCCCTCCCAGTGGAATATAAAACGCAGGAGGCGGGTCTGCACACCCTACACAGGACGGTGCCTGCCCTGGGGGCACGTGCTGGCATTGGTCACTGTAGGAAACAAATCTGTTTAACTTTCTTCTTTAAAGAGGTTTCGAGTTCTTATAATGCACGTTACTTTATGAATTAGAGCTAATGAAATATATTAGAATGATAACTCAGGATGATAACTTATTAGTCTGGCTAATCAGCAGGAAGTCATTTTTATTTATAGTCTGAGGCCCACATGACATGCTCAACGTACTAAAAATCAAAAGCTAAAACCCGCTGTCCCCATCATGGGGTTAGAGCTGCCCAGCCGGCTGGGGGTGACCTGGGCTGAAAAGAGAAAACGCTTCCATCCTCGCCTCATAGTCTAGAACACAGTGCGTGGGTGGAAGAGGGACACATACTAACTCGCACGAGCTCGGGGAGGCCAGCAGAGTGGACCCATAGCCCAGAGATGAAAGTGACCGCATAAGACCAACAAATAAATTCCTAACTAAAAGCGGGTCATGGGGGGTGGTCACCCCGAAGGCTGCTGGCTTCCTTGACAAAGGCCAATCTTGACCCTAACTGAGTGAGTCTGTTGTCTTTTTGCATCTAAGGTAATAGACCTTTGGAAGGTCAGGGTGATCCCCTTTTCCAGACCCCTCAGGGCACGACCTCCCACCAGAGCACGAGAGCAGGGACCCCTCATTGCTATCTTGTCCCCTGAACACCAACCACCTCTATGTGCTGTAGACATTAATTATTAACTACCCTGTACCCACCAATGTCAAGAAAGCACGTGTCTCTCCATTTTACTATTTAGTTAATCCCAGAGGTTCCCCCGCTTTGCTTTCTCCCGCCTTCCTAGCCTGTCACCAATGGATTTCTCGGAACCTCAAGTCTCCTCTTTTGGATCCTGATGTATAAAATAAGCTGTAAAACTGCCATTCTCAGGAGCATTTTCTCAATCCGTCGAGATTTTGCTTCCTGGCAATTGTTGTCAGTTTGGCTCAAATAAACTCATAAAACGTCTCTACGGATTTGGACGCGTCTTATGTCAACAGTTCCTTGGAACACAGGGAATTTATTTCAAAATAAAAATGCTGTGAGCCAGGGGCGGTTTGTATTTTCTTCTGCGGTGATAAGAAGGGAGGGAACTAGGAAAGAGGAAGTGGTAACCCGCTC